CCCCTAGCTCTCACCAATATACAACAGAATATAGGTGCGGTGTATTACAGCACCCACTCGCTGCACCTGCTACAGATCAACCGAACAGCAAGAGCAAGGTTAAAAAAAAAAAAACTAAAATAATAATACGACGATATAGAGAGAGATTATACAACTTGTGATCTCTTTCCACTTGATAAACAATAGGCAAGAAATTCCTTCTCGTTAAGGCGGAATGCTATCAACAACAAAAGAATGTGCCCTCTTGCGCACTTGCTCCCCTTCAGCTGGAAGCCACAGGAAAAGGTACACAAAGTTACTTAATTCATAAGCTACGCACAGCCCTGTGGTTCGAAGGCTTTGTGAGTCAAGGTACTGGTATCAGAGTTTCACAGTATGGAAAAGCAATGTAATACACTTCGAACTTTTTTTTTTTAAACACATACTCACTGAATGTAAGAATTATTCCACTGTTTAAAATTTATTAGAAAAAAAAAAATCCACACAGAAAACAACAGCTGCTTCTAATACATACTTTAAAAAGTAAAACAAACACTTTAAAAAATGTAAAACAAACCCAAGAATCCCCACAACCTTCTGGTTTTGAAGGTCCCTAGGATTCTAGTGTTTCTTATCAGTCTGTAAACATGGCTTCATTCAAGGAAAACATTTGAACAAGGTATTCCCCATGTAGACTGCGGGCTCCGTGTTACCGCATCCAAAAGATCCCAAGTGTCTCACACCGTGAAGGTTATACCCTAAAGCCTGACGTGCAATGTGCCACAGCGAGGGCTCTTCTGCTGCAGGGGGATGTGACGTGACAATGATTATGGGGGACGCGATGAAGTGGCACATGAGTGGAGAGGGCTGGGATGGATGGAGGACAGGCAACCTCGCCTCCTCCTCTGCACCAGGCTCCTGCAATACCCAAGGGGCTGCCTGCACAAGTGGCCAAGGTAGAGCTTCATGCTGAGGATGCAACCTCAGGAGGGTTATTTACTTTTCCCTTCCATGCAATGACCCTTTTTCCTTTCCATGCAATAGAGGGAAAGCTGACTAGATGTGACGGTTTTATTCAATTAATTTTTGAGTGTCATATTAGCACCAAAAACCCCAAGGACTTGAAAAGGCATCATTTCTTTCACATGCAGGAGGCCATAGGTTAAAGTGTCATTGCAAGAAGAAGAGAAACTACTTGTTAAACAACAAAACACATCTAACTATCAGGTCAGTGTCCAGGGGTCTGGGAAGTCCAAGAAATAAGCAGGCAAGGAAAGGGAAGAAAGCAATAGAGCAGAAGAAACAAGTAGTTGTAAGGTAATGAACAGAACTGACAACAGCACCAAGGCAATATGCCCTGATTGGTCTGACCAGTCATCAAAACTCAAGAGTAAACTCCCAAACTGATAAGTTATGTCGACTGAACTGCAGAGAACAAGCACATTGTCCAGGTAAACAAGGAAGAAGAGTCTGAGATTTAGAGGAATGGTTGCTGCCTACACCCTGAGCATAACAAAAACAAAGCAGAAGAGCTGCTCATCAGTGGCTGCTTGGTTGCACAACCACCAAACTGTTGGTATATGAAAGAATTAAATTTCAAAGGTGTCGCAGCAGTTAAACCTATCAAAAATCAGCCCTCTGATAAAGAGGACCTGCAGCCCCCAAGAACCAATTATCATTGCCAATATGAGTCAAGGCCTTCAGAAACAGGTCAGAGGCAGGGGGAGATAACACAGGAGGCAGAACACAGCTAGTCACGGCACTCACTGGTGTGCAGGAGAAAACATGGTTCAAAACCTGCCTCCCCCCATCTCCCAAGCCTGCAGTTTGATCACACCTACCCTCTTGCACGTGAGTGCCCCAACACAAGCTCTCCTCCCATCAGGGCCTGGAATTCACCCCCAGAGCATCAAGAGAGGAGCACCAAAAGGCTCAGGTTTAGATATTGACACAAAAAGGTTTAATTTCAACAAATCAGCGTTTTTAAATCCTGTCCTTGCCACGTTTTTCTTGACCATCCCTAATCATCGCAGTAAATCACTGAAGCTACTGGTCTCAAAATAGCTACTAGCCATTTTAAACTCTACCAGAACAACGAACCTGAAAATGAATTTTAAATAGCACCACAAAAACCAGCAGAAAAAAAAACAGTATGACAAGCTATCAACCTGCAATTAGATTTATCATTAGAAGTGTGAACAGGATCATTGTTCAGTGATTAATGCGCTCAAATATAGAAGCCATTGCACTATTCTTTTTACCAATATAACTGTACTTTCATAAGACTAATGGTTGTTACCACTTCAGCTCCACAGGGTGTACTGCAACTTGAATCTCATCGTATTCCACAAAAAGGATTCTTTTTAAACATTCAGAACACAAAAGCCTGGAGAAGAACGCCACACCAGACCTCTCTCCTGGTGACTGCAAGTCACCCAAGCACTGCTTGAGAAAAAAAGTGTTTCATACCTGTGTCCACAACCCTCCTCTGCCACTGAGGTCTTCCCAAACTCTGTAAACAATGGCAGGCCATTTAAATTTAAGAAAGATTCAAATTAGCAGAGTTGCAGAGAAAGAGGAGTATGATGAGAAGACAAGGGACCTACACAATGAAAACAGGAGAACTTGGTTCCGTTACTCTAATAAAACAGAGTGTGAGAGGCAATACTGTTGCCATCTACCAGCACAAGGGGAGCAACACCAGGAGGGCAGAGAAGAGCTTCCCAGTCCAAAAGCAAGGATCCATGGTCCGCCATAAACACATTTATGCAGAAAACACAAGGTTTCTGACCATGAAAAAAAGTAAAGCTTCTGAACTGACTAACAGGGACAATGGGGACAAAAATCAACTAGATGATTGTAATACAGAGCTTGATCAGTGCATCTCCGTGAGCATCTGGAGTTGGAATTAGCATCATACAATTACAGGTCTTAAATCATAACAAAAATAAAGCCTGAAGCCTTAACCACAAAATTCAGGTACAATTCCCTTATGTTGTTACTACTTCTAAGTGTCTTGGTGAGAGGAGGTAGGGAGGTTGGAAGGAGACCGCGGGGCATTGGGTTTTTTCCCCTAGACTATTGCATGATGAAACAGCAGAGCGTTTCAGATGCCCTCAGCACAACTTGAGTTTTCCACACACCATCCAGACCTACATTAAACACACACCGCAGAACGCTGACTAGGTAGAGCTAACACCGCTCAGCATTTCATTTTTGCCTCAAACTTCAAAGTAAACCACACCCAAAAACTCTGCAAAGTCGTAACACAGGGGAGAGACAGCCGGCAGCGGGAAACAGGTCATCCACGAACAGGCATTTAGATACCACCATTCAGAGGAACGGCAAATGATACGGCACACTTTTGGGCATGCACCTGCCTTTCTGCTCCCCATGGGGCATCACTAGCCACAAAACCTTCCCTCTATCTGTTGCTAAAGCATCCCCCTCTAACCAATGTTGAGAAGGAGACAAGATGGCATGCCCATATTGAAAGCAGGACTGTGGTCCGTGCCCTCCCTCCAGTGTCCAAGTAGACTTGTCTCTCTCACTCCTGCAGCCTCATAGACACGAGGAAAGAGCTGAGTCTTCTTTGTCCTTCCTCACCAGCCCTCAGCACTGTTTCTGCTCATAGGCGAGGGGCAGGGGGGCTGCGCCTGAGCTCCGCAGCCCCAGCACTGAACGGAGTGGGGAGAGCAGGGTGGCTGCGGCAGGATTCCTCGCTCCCATCGCCATTCTCTGGGCCGCAAAGAAAGGAGCCACTCGCTCCGTGGGAAAACATGAGAATATGGACACCTTCCTTTAAAAAAAAAAAAAGGGTAACTTTAAAAGTAATTTAAAAACTTGGGGGATCACGACTGGCAGTGGCGCTGTGTTTGCTACTGTTATCAGCTCCTAACATATGTCACCATGGCAAGAATTTGTGGCAAAGATGATGTGGCACTATGAAGAGGAAGACAAACACATAGCACTGCTGAGGTGGCGGTGAGGAAGGACATAGGTCCTCAACACTTAAAAATACAGGGAGAAAAAAAGAAACAGCACTTCTAAAACAGAAAAAATATCATGAGGAACAGGGAAATGAGGGAAAAGACAGGAGTAGACACGCAAAACAGAGTTGACTTTAAGTAAAAAAAACAAAACACTAACCACTAAAGCTGAGAAGGGACATACAGTGAGTAAAATACAAAAAGAATTTTAAAAATCTCTAAAATGATAGAGCATGAAGTAAAACATAATTAAGAAGAGAGGTCTCCATAACAGAATGTGTCAATACCATCTTATTTTTGCTATTTATGTGCAATGCCACATCACACTAAATTCGGCTTGTATATTTGAGCTGCAATTTAATTAAAAAAAATAAATACCTTATTATCATTGTTATCTGGGTGGGGCAGGAATATTAATTTAAACAAGTGTGTAAATACACTTGCTT